AAAATATTACAGAAGGTGCCCTCTCATTGTAAACACATAAATCCTCTGGTGAGCCACGGTGACTCAAACTGGGGCTACTGTTGGCCAAAACCGGGGAGCAGGCAGCTGCCAGAGCTGTTTAGCTACAGGAGCAGAGAGAGAAGAACCGACTGGAGAAGTGAACTGAGCCAAACAGATAAACAAACCTCCAGAACCGAGAACTAAAGGATCCTGTGTTGTTGTCACTGCGTTTGTTTTGTTAAACGTCGAACGAGGGAAACAAAATTAGAAATCAGGAAAATTTTATTTCAAAATATTGATATTGAAAATGAACGGGCCTTGCTGAGCTCCTCCCCCTTCGTCCCTGCAACAGCTCCAGGTCCCCATTTTGGGAACCACTGCCATCAGCAAACAGACAAACTTACAAACCTATATATATATATATTTACAGTTTTTCTTCCCACACTGAGTGCTTTTTCATTACACCCACTGCTGACTTGACTCTGACTCTTGTCTCAGCTTGTCAAACTCCGGGACATGATGTACAACTGCATAAATTAAGATTTGTTTGATTTACCTGGAGGAGTTTCTGCACACACAGTGAATGTCCATTTCTTGAGGCCAAATGGAGAGCATTTTTACCTTCAAGGAAAAAACAAAACAATGATTTCAGTTTGTCTCATCAAGATACATCTCTTTGTAGAAGAGTGAGGACAACATGTCAATATTGTCCAGATCAGAACTGTTGCAACAATCTAAGTATACACGTGTGTGTGCTCCTAATTGGAGCGTCTGCAGCAGAACTGTGTTCAGCCTGAGGATATTTTCTACACATGGTTCCCAATTATTTTCATCTACATAGTCCAGCACTAACATTTGCTGCTGTATATATTGCTAATGTGCCGTTGGCAATATTTGGTACCTGTCTGAAGAAGTTGATGAAGGAAAACAAAGAGACAGTGAAGAAGGGAAACAGTGGACGAGTCCAAGAACGGAAGAAGGAAAAGAAGGAACGATAAGGAGGAAGGAGAAGAAGAAAATGTAGAAAATCAGTCGTTGAACTAAATCAATGATTCATGGAAAGAAGACCAGGTCCACAAGTACTGACTTGGCTTTAACTGACCAAAAAAACAACAACAACGAAAACACACTCAGACGTTTAGGTTTTTTCCTCTTCCTGTTTGTTATCTTTCTTCTCCTCGATATTTATAATGTCTCTAAAAACAGGATGAAATCTGTGTGCGAGGATTACTCATTCATTCTGCCGTGGCTGAAAGAAAACAACACATTTGCTTGAAAGAAACACTTCAAGCCATAGATTCATAGAAAGGTTGATAATGACACCAATTTTCCCTCTTATGTGTTTGCAGCCTCACATGGTTTGAGGACCCACATTAGGGTTAATTGAAAATGTGAAAATATGATGAACACTTTGCACCTATTAGGAGGCCTGAGGGCAGGAAATGTTGTTTATTTTCAAAGGAAATTATGTATGACCTATATTCTAAGAGACACAAACATAGTTGAAAATGTGTTTTAAGCTCGTTTAATGAATATTAATGATAAATAAATGTGTACAGTATTGTGATGTTAATCCTTGAAAACGTGACAGTGCAGTGATTCAGCCTGAGCTCACCTGTGGCATCAGTCGCAGTGACATCAGCACCGTGTCCCAGCAGCAGATTGAGACAGTCCAGATGTCCTCGTGTGGCAGCCAGGTGAAAGCTGGAAAACAAGGGACAGATGCCAAATTAAACACATTTAAATTTAAACATTTAAATACATTTAAAAAAGACAGGCAGGAGTAGGTGGGAAATAAACTATACATGCACATCATTACTGGAAGTGTTCAAATGTTTCTTGCAAGAAAAAAAATTAAAGTTGCAGGATAATGGGTTCCACCAAAGTAGTCTTTGCCTTTTCCTAATGTTAAGACATTATTTTGCATATTGTGATAAAAACAAACATTTTGCTGATGATTGATGATGTAGCTTTTATGCAAATATATAAAACAACTTACATACTTTAGATGCTTTTGTAATAATAATAAAATACGGTGAGTCAGTGTATAATATTACAATCTGGATTTTTATTATTTATCCAGTTTTAAATTTAACAGTGCACTACAGCAGGTTTCATTGCAAGGGTTTTTCCAACAAGTCTTTCATCGTCATTTCTTTTTGGCTGGAAATCCTCCCACTTCCCTTCTCTGGTTTAACCTGCAGTAGCACTGACGCCTCTGACCACCATGTTTTGTGCAGCACTTGTGTGTAAATCTATCCCAGTCTGTCGCCCATCTAGTCACATGAACCTGTTAAAACACTAAACCCAAAGTATCTGCCAAGGAGACAGCTAGGCTGTCACCTCAACGCTGGCGTGGGTATTAAAAGCAGCGTTGATGGCCATGAGATCCTGCTTCTTTTTGGAGCAGGAGCAGGTCCTGACCTGTCAGCCATAACAGCAGACACGGAGCAGGACCAAGCTGTTTGAAATCCAGGCAGATCAATAACCTATAACTTTAAGATTCTCCAGGGCAGAAAAAAAAAGAGCAAAATAATTAAAAGGTTTTAATTATAATTAGAACTCTACTCTCACTGATGGACGTGGTGCATGGGGTCACACTGGGCCTGTATTAGCACTTCATGAAGGACATTAAGCTTCACTGGACGCTACATTACACTGAGTCCTTCAGCAACATTCAGCTAAAACAGTATAGTTCAATATTTCCCAAACATTCTCTGCACCGTCCCCTGGTGTTACGTAGGCCTGAGGTTTAGCCACCACACCCCTATGTAGACACATTTACAACTATGCCTTCAACCCTTCACTGCAGCTCTGCACAGGAAACACAATAACAAATCAGTTTTTCCCATTTTAACACAAATACAGAAGAATAATCCATTTGTTTTGCTGGACCCATCCTTCATTAGCTCCACACCTCCCACTTTGGAAAACACCGGTGTTGTCAGTGAACACTCTATGTACTATATTTAGGTAGTATGTAGGGAGGGAAGACCAGAGACTGTACTGCATGCTGGTAGCTAATACCTAAACGTTAGGATACAACAGTGTGAGTAACGGTTTGACTTATATTGTGGTCTGACTCAGTATTTTATATAAAAAACAGCGCCACCTATGCTGTGAGATCCACTGTCTCAAGACTCCACGGCCGCCAAAGAAGTAAAGACATAAACAGCTGAATCAAATGTGGGTCAGGACCTGCAGACGTAACTCGACCTCAGTTCAGTCCGTATTCATGTTTACAGTCGTTTACGCTGTAAAGTTTCTGTGTGAAGACACTGGGACTGGCTGTTTTAGGCTAATGTGAACTTTTAATGTTAGTGATAATGTTACTGGCCTGCTTTCTGGTGAAGTACTAAGGTACTGAGGAAAAGTAATGGTGCGTAGATGTTTTCTTTACCCTGTGACCCATATCAGACTACAGTATTTCTTCCAGTTTAGAGGTTGATAATTACACCTCCATAAAGGAAACTGCAGGGCTAAGTCAATGGCCTTAGGAACAACAGTGCACGTGCAAGTGTCTTCGCTCAGTGTCCGACTCTTGCTCAGAAGTTTTCTGCCTTGTCAGCAAACTTTCCCAACAGCACACAGTGAGCAGGTGTGATTGGTGGACTGACTTAGCTGCAGGCCACATCTAAAGCCATTTACTCAGCTGGAAGCCTCAACAGAACACTGAGGCTTGATTTCATTAGCTGAACAACGCCAGGCTAATCTAGGGGTAAATTAAATGATAAACATGCACTGCACGTTACAGTCAGTAATTAGTTTCCCAATGGAGATCTGTGATTGAGGGGATCAGCCTCTGACATTCCTCTGCTGGTTTTGCAGAGACCGGTATGCCAGACACATGTTGTCCTGTGTGTGGCCCACAGTACTATAAGCAGACTTGCTGAGTTAGTACTGCTGTTCCCAGGGCAAATGTGTGAACCCTTTACCATGCATGTCAAGAGAAGACAATTTGATGATTTTGGACTGATGTGTAGATTTAGTTTTTTTTAGTACAATAAAACAAAGAAATCAATGTAACCATGTTTAATATATTATTTGGTTTGCAAAAAGATTAAATGGAAGTTTAAATGGAAGCCCATGGGACAAAAGTCCAAGACTGTTCACTGACTTATTCAAGTAATTATTTTCTGAAGGAGGTTTATGAATTTAAATGATGATTTTAGCTGATTTTTTTAAAGGTGATTTGCGTCAGTTTTATAAATGATACTTATAAAACTGCCAGGACCAATCTACTGATAATGTCTACTTCATGCTCTTAAAAAAACGTGAAAAAAAACAAAAGACAAATCAGTTGTAATTATGTTTCCTTTTTCAAGGCTGATGTCTACTTCATGCTCTTGAAAAAAAACAAAAGACAAATCATTTGTAATTATGTTTCCTTTTTCAAGGCTCTGACATAGGTTCAGACATCTGCTTGTATTGTCTGTTGGGGATAAAATAATTATTTTGTGATGGAACAATGGAACAAGATAATCTACCAACTGCTCAGAACACACTGCACTTTGGATATGAAGTTACTATTTGCTTGTTATGTCTTCCAGCCTTAGTCAAACTTTAGTAAATAAAAAAGGAAAATGACAAAAATCTCAGGCGAATGTTAGGAAATCTAAGAGCTTAGCTTGAACGTGCGCTGTTGTTTCAGATGAATTATTACAAACAGTAAAATTATCTCTGACAAAAACTCTGATTGGATGCTGGAGTCTTCCAGTATTCCAGTGGTGTTTCTTTGGGTGAACAACCTCACCCTCTCCTTCTAATGTAACTCCGTAGAGGATGTAAATTTAGTACTCCTCCCCCCTTAGAGCCCACATTAAAATGCTACAACATTAAAATTATGGTTCTTGTAGGAGTCATCTGATCTGGAGGATGGTCCGCAGCTGGTTCTAAAAGTATCAGTTAGTGTTGCAGGCACCACAGTGAATCTGATCTGGATTTGCAGGGAGTCATTTCCTGTGAGGACTACATAAACAATCTTCGGCCTCTGTGGCGAGGCCTTCAGTGGCCTCCAACATTCTTAGCATAAACTCCCAAACTGACCTCCAGCCCATGACTATGGAAAAGAGAAATGTCAGGATACAAAGCAGACATGACAATATGCAAGTCCATTGCCAATGTTCGCAGACAAGCTGAGTCAAGGTTTACCGCAACAATTTGCTAAACCAGACCGGACCAGCAAAATTAGATAGTGGACTTGAGACTTGGTGTCCACATTGTAAAAGGACATCTGAGCTGGGTGTTTTAAATCAGTAAGAATACCCTTGTTCTGTAAAGTGGTAAGCTTTGGTTCAGAAAGAATGAGCCTGCCAGGTGGTGATTTTTTTTGTGTTTTATGTTGCCATGGACAGTTTAAGGCATGGTTGTCAAACATACGGCCCGCTGAATTTTAAAAAAAAAAAAAAAAAAAAAAAACACAAAAACTTCATGTTCTAGATTTAATTTTTGTAAAATTATATTTCATTAACTGCTGAATATAAATATACTTTGCATTAAAACAAAGGGGAAAAATGACTTATTGTTATTTATAGTTAATTAGATTATGATTGCAATGGTCTGGCCCACTTGACAGCTAATCAGGCTGCGGCCACTGAACCAAAATGAGTTTGACGCCCCCTGGTTTAAGGTGTAGGTATGCAGTTACTCACGCAGATCGTCCTTCCACATCAAGCTTGGTGGGGATGATGCCCTTCTTGTTAAGAACAGCAGAGACCTTGTCCACTTCACCACGTTCAACAGCTTTCATCAGCCGGTCGTCATACTTGTTCCAGTCTGTGTTCTGACAGAGAAAAGAAACTGTTAGAAACCACTATGAAACAGAAAGTATTTCCCAAAACAAACATGGCAAACAGAAAAAAAGACCAAAACTAACATTTAAATATTAAGTAACAATACTGGTTTTCTGATTGTTTTAAATAAAGTATTTGATGAGATGTAAATCCCAAACAAGAACAACAACCTCCAAATAGTGACATCATTTTTTCATTTTTGAAGGACAATTACAGACATTCAGAATGTGCCAAGAATGTTCCAGTTCCAGAATTATCCATAATTGCCTGCAGTGAAGCATTGTATTCTGACAATAACATGAATTTAAGCCTGTTTACAACTATACACATCACAGTGCATTTTCATTTTGATGAATAAAACCAACCCACAATGTGCTAAAAGCATTACAACAAAGAATGCATCTGAATGCTAAGGTATCCTTTTGTTTGTCATTGACACTGCCAACAATGAATACCTACAAAGTGCATGGAAGTGCATTTCAGCCAGCGGCTCATCTTGGGAGAGTGGAGCTGGTCCTTGCACCGTGCAACTGAAAAGGATGCCAGGGTTCCGGTTTACAAAAAAAGCACCAAAATGAGAAAATGAAGAAAATGAGGGTGTATAAAAACAAAATCCAGGCTTTTGTAGAACACTCAGCCAGTGAGTGTACAGAAAGTAGAATTAAAGAAAAGAAAAAAGAAAAAGAAATGGGACAATCTGCACTGCGGTGGAGGTCCTCTTATTAAAGGCTCAGCCTCTGAAGTTCCCCTCACTTGTAGAGTTTAGTTGGCAGGAATGTCTAAGCATTCCTGTGTTGCTCACTGCGCAGCAGTCTAAATTATGGTATAAAAGGGAAGCAAAAAAGGACTAAAAGGAGGGAGGAGTAGAGGTGGAGAAGCAGAAGGGCCAGCCCTGCCAGCCCCGGGACCTGCCCTGGCCGGCAACTGCAACTCCTCCTCTGGAGTAAAAATCAGCTCAGCCTGGCTTACTTCTCCCACCCCCCAAGTTTCTTCCGCTTTCTCCTCGCCTTTATCCTTAAGCCCTCCTGGTAATTCAGTGGTCTTCTGTCGGGATATTCTTCTTCTATTGAGGTTTTCTTCCTTAAAAGTCGTGAACAGTGGTTGCAGCTCAAACGACAACAGAAAAGCTCAACTGTCTCCTCTATCACTTATCTCCAACGTCTTCACTCCACCAAATGGCAAGGTCAGTCGGGCTCACTGGGGTAAATATGTGAGCTCTCGCAGGTTTTAAATATCACCTCCTCCCGGGTAAACAGCAGTGGTGGAGACAGTCCTGCAGACTGGTTACCTCTTTATTTTTTGACCGTCCAACCTTTCTGTAGTGACTGATAGGAAGACAGGGGCTAAGAATACATTCTGGACATTCCTGCAGCATGAGTAATGGTGATAGTGTCTATCACCGCTGCCAGCGTGAAACAAGGCCAGCCAAGAAGACCTCGCTCCCTCCAACCATGCTCCCTGTTTACCCCCCAGCTGAAAATATTAATGTCAGAGGGGGATTATGGTTTGCACATTTGAGGTAGTTATGGCAGTGACCCTCACAGCACACTGCAGGGGGGAGCTCATCCATCTAAAAGAGAATAGGGTGGCCCCAAAGCCCCCTGATCCTAACTGCAAGGTGGCAAGGTTAGATGTCATCCCTTTTACAAGCAGCTGTCTAAGACCGCAGCCACACCGTAAACTACCAGACTGCCTCTTCACTTACACCTATGACCACACAGTAAACACTGTAAAAGCACCACTTTCATTTACAGGGTAAAAATATCTGAGGCAAACAGCCACCGAGACGACACTCAGGGGAATGGCTGAGGTACAGAGAGGTAGCCGTTTAATTTACATACTGCATCAGCTCTTTGCGGGCTTGTGTTACAATCTGCTGCCAGACTGGCGTTAACAGAGCGGCGATGATATCCGCAAACATGCAAAAAGTCCTCCTCCGCATGACATGTCACATGAAGGAGTAGGTATCCACTTACAAAAGCTGCTCATCCCAGCATAGAGACAAAGGCGCCAAAATGGCACAAGGCCATACAGCATACTTGCTCGAGTAAATATCTGACAAGGGTGTCAGGGAGCGTGTGTGTATTACCAATTTGTTCATGCATAAGCTAATTTTGGAGACGTAAGTGGAATAGAACCGAGTTGTTCTTACATGGACTTGTTTTGTTATTGTTTGAAGAATCCTTTGAAAGGAGACTGAAAAACTTCACATTTTAAAACTGCATTGATGTCACAGGCTCTCTGGAAGGCCAGGATAGTGAACCGGCAAACTTCTTCTCATCTTCTTGCAGTAAGAGGCTAACCACTTCTGCCACCTTGTGGCATAACTCTGGAGTTTCTTTGGGTATTTTTCACTGACACTCGAAAATAAAAACGAAAATATTGCATAAGCATTCTGTGAGTACAAGCTGACGTTGATGCAGAATGTGACCTGATAATTTTAGTTCCATTTAGAAGCAAAATCATGCAAAGAGACGTGTGTACTCTGATGTATCCAATATATTAGAAGAGAAATAATCAGCAATAATAAACCTGATGATGATGATGATGATGAATGAATTAAGTAGCAGGCACGCAGGCATTACCTTACCTTACCTAATTTCTATTTAAACGCAGTGACCTTTTAGGACAAAACATCAGTTAACACTGGTTGTGCCAGGGTACTACCTGTCTGCACAGACTATTCTGGAGGATGAGTAAGAGCTTTACACTCTTGCCACTTTTGGTTGAGGTTTTCCGTCACTTTTTACAAGCTGCATGACTTTCAAGCACCTCAGTTTCGTGCCTCTGTAAGCTCCTGGGCAGACAGACTGATCCGTCTCCGATGTCCTCACCCATGAAATCATCAGCAGAAAATATCCAGCTGGTCATGTGTTTACAGAGGGATGGAGGACCAAAACATAAAGCTGTACACCAATATGTCATGCGATAGTTGTGTTCAAAGGGACGGCTTCACTGACGTTTTGACACGCTCTACGCCACCGTCAAGATTTACAATGTGAGTGTGTCTCTTTGGAGCCAAATGTATAGATATAGTTTTGCATATTTTCCTTGACATTTTCCATATTATAAATGTCATAGTTTGTATTAGTCACATATCAAAATGCACGCAAATACCTGCTATTATTTGTGTGTTGGATTCTGCAATTATCGTGATTCATCCACAGCTAACCTGTAATTATGGAGATTAAAAATTAAAATATTCTGAGAGCCTAGTTATTTAAGAGCTCTCTAACACAAAGACTTAGTTCTGGTTAAAAATCTGAAGGAGGACTCCTAATTACGGATAAATTAATTTAACCAAGCTTTTACTCAATTATTACCTGAATAGAGAGGTATCACCAAGAAGAAAACGTTCTTTTGGAAAACACCAGCATGTCATGTTGCATGAATTATTTGACAGTTCTAAGAGTTGGAAAAAAACATCTGTGTATCTGATACCTACACCAATCAAAACCCTTACCGCAAAATCTTGACGTTCCTGCAGTTTATGAAGCCAGTCGAGCATGTGATTCGTCATCTGCGTGTATTTTTATCATTAGCACTCAAACATACCTGCTTCTGACGTTAGATCAAATAGCTGCACGCAGTGTAAATGTCTCAGTGACAAGTGATTTGCAGGTGAAATATACCCTGGTAGTGAAAGGCCAAAACTGTGTCAGTGTTAATGAGGAACTTAAGCACAGGCTGAAATTGTGCGACTTGCTGCTCAACCAAACAGTGATGTCAGAGTATCTGTTTAGAGCAAGTGTTTACAACAGAAGGTGAAGGGTAACCAGCTAGTTTTGTAATTTTGGTCAGGTGTGGTTGTCTGTTTGATTCCCAGTGATATAATGTTATAGGGAGCACGTCTTCAACACACCAGTGTAGTAAGTCACAAGTATATGATGTGTACGTGAAGACCGCGCTGAAGAATAGAGTAGAATACATGAGAATAAATGAATATGTGGAAAATTAATTAGGTTAAAACAGTGAATCTGTCACGATGGGCAACATCCACTGATTACAAAGGAGCTGCTCTTTCCATTAAAAGCCAAGGCCACAGTGATGGCTTCAGCCAGGTGTCTTGAGAAAAAAGACACTTTTTATGGTATGTGCATGAGACACTGATGAAACATCTGAGGGGCTGCTTAACACGGGGCCACTCACTGGGCAGAGTTTGACCAGCGAGGACAAACAGATGCACACTCTGGTGGTTGCGAGCAGGACAAACAGATGCACACTCTGGTGGTCAACTAGGGAAATTAGTAAAAAGAATGCTTTTAACAAGAACATTTTGTCAAACAGAATAAATCAGTCTGTTAAGTGCTGGAGGCAAAGCTTTGGTTCTGAAATTTTAACACAACCATTCTAATGGAAGAACACGTGGTTTTTCGTTCCGTGTCATGCTGACTTATTAGCTATTACATCAATTGTTTGTGTTCTGGTTGCTTTAATTTTCTTTTTTTCCTCTTTTTTTTTGTCTTTGTTTCATTCTTTACTGTATTTTCTTGTTTTTATCTTTTTTTATAAGCATTAAAGATTAGGGACATGTCTACCAGCTGTAGATTACCTATCCCTTAAAATGATATATATTCAAAAACGTGGAACAAATTAGCAAAATAGGAAGTCAAAAAAATATTACAAACATTTAGTCCATTACATGTTCAGTGAAGTTGCTCTTGGATTTATTTGTGAATACAAGTGAACTAAACCTAAAAGAGCAAACTGTGTGAAAACTATAACTTTTACATAATTTATAGTCAAATTACTGATATAAATTTATTTACAAAAGAACAGACTTATGACTAGAATATGTCATGACTGAGCAAATGATGCAAACAACAGTGATTGGAAGTTGGTTTGTTCAAAACGAAAGTGACTCTGCCCCTATAATTGGGCCTTGGTTTTTAACAAACAGAGCTGGGACCATAGTACTGTGAAAATTTAAAGTTGAATTATTACTTTGGGTCAATCATTGACTCCAAATTAATCCTTGAAATACATTTTG